CAATTCTGAACTCTGAACCCTAGACCCTAAACCCTGAACCCTAAACCCTAAACCCTAAACCCTAAACCCTGTATGCAAGAAAGGGTTGTTAGGCAAAAGATGTGGAATGCAGACCCACTGGTTGTAGGGCATACTATTACGAAGTATTGGGAGTCTTTTTGGTTAACTGAACAACGTGCCGACTTGCAAGTAGCACACCGGCTTGTGCAACAGCTACCTCAACTGCCTGTTTTTGACCCAACTATCACTTTAGGCGAGTTGGAGTGGGCTCTCAAAACATCTAAAAATGGTAAGGCCAGAGGCTTGGATGGGTTTTCTTTTCCAGAGCTGAAAGCGCTGCCCCCTAAAATGGTAGAAATGCTCCTGCACATGTTGAACAGTATCAGCCTCTATGACTTCACCTCCAGCCTCTTGGGCACGGTTGAGGCGGGGCTTGGTTTGGCCACCAAGCAGCGAAGGAAGTCAGAGTGCACACTCCCCCACGAGGTGCCAAAAGATATTCAAAAGATTCTTAAAGAGCTCCAGACAAGAAAGACTAAAATGAGAAGCAAGCCCATTGGGGCACGGAGCCACCCCGCCCAGCCCTTGCTTGCTTTGCTCTGCATGCTGCTGCTTTTGCCAGGAGCCACTGCTTCACAGTATGACGTGGGCAAACCATGTCATGGAGACGTTCTCCGTGGACCCAGTCCTGACATGTTTATCACCAGGCCCTTCGGGCCCCCTAATTCGTCTAGTCCCTGTGCGCTCGCAGCCATGGCCACTGCGGGAAATAAGGGCTATAGTTCCGTTGAGACCTTCGATTACATGATTTCCCATGGACTCGATGAGTTCTCCAATAGCACGGAGGCCGTTGGATGCGTGCCTCACTTGCAGACGTTGGGCTGTGCTGTAGGCTTACCCACAGTTACGTCACGCGTCTGTCATGTTCCTGCTTCGGATGTGGGCTTACCCACATGCGACCTCTCTTTCATTAGGGATGTCCTCTCGCTCGCGCGTCGCGGGGGAATCATTCTGCATTCACTGCCTTTTGACTTCCGAATTTTCGGTGTCCTTCGAGTGTTTCTCGTCGTTGGAGGGGTGCTTGAAGTGGTGGGGTGCCCACGGAAAAGCCGCAAAGGCAAGAAAACTGTGCGGCGGAAGGTCCAGTCCTGCAGCAGGTAAAGCAGTGGGCAAGTCTCGGAAACAAGCTCAGGCCGCGTAGTCTTAAGGTGGTGGCCAGGCAAGCTCTGTTCGGCCTCAGTCCTTGACAAAACCCTGGAGGACGGAGAAGAGCCAGGAGACAACGTAGCTTGTGTGGTAAGTCTTGCGCAGGCTAAGGAGTGCAGAGGCTTGGCGGCAGCTCACCAGCTTCAGTGCAAGGTTGCTTTGATCCTGAAAGACTTTCAGGACGGCAAGGGGGCTGAGGGTCTCAGTGCCTCTAAGTCTTGGATCCGTCTTGTGGATGGCAAGTGGAAAGAGGTTTGGGTTCTCCCCCTTTCCCACGACCTCCCTCCCTGGGGTGACAAGCCCACAGTCGTGGAGTGTAAAAGTGTCCCTGAACAGGTCAAGCAAGCCACGCTCAAAGTCATCATTCCGAAAGCCTTTCAATCTTCATGTGAATGGGATGAGATTGTTAAGAAACCCGCAGCTGCAGTGAAGTTGCTTCTCCCGGACGAACTTGCGGTCCGAAGCTACGGCTGGCACAAACTTGAACAGTGCGACGAGGCCATATGCGGTTTCCTCAAGCTCCCGGAAGCTAAAAGCCAGCTTGTGCTTAACAACTCGGGATGTAAAGGAGTCTTTGTCAAGAGAGTCGATGGCCACTTAGACCCTGCTCAAAGGGCCCCGGTCAAGTGGCTCGCTGTCGAAAAGATGAAGGCCCCGGCGTACTTCGCCTTGGCGAGGCGAGAGGCTGACAAAGCCAAGGTTCCTCTTGCTTACAGAGCAGGGGGCGGATCCTGCTTGGGTCTGGTTGGTGCCCTGAGGCCTCGACCAAACGCCGCTGGGCGGCAAGAGGCGTTCCGTCCAGCTGGTGCCCGGCTCAGATGCAGCAGCTGTTGACCTCTCAAAACTGGAGGGTCATCTCCGACATACAGGCTCCAGCCCGGCCGAAAGGCATCTGGACCTTTTCGGCTGCTCCGCCGCAGGGGCAGTCCAGTGGCCAATGGTTCCTCAAGTGCGGTGACCAAGGCACGATTGAAATATCACCTTGGCGCAAGAGCTCCACGAGGCCCGTGTCTTTTCCCATGCGGGCTCCTGCTGCATGGGTTAGTAAAGCTAAAGACAAGGACTCTGCTAATGATGGCTTTAAGCCCAATGGAGAGCCAGAGACCCCAGACAGTAGGGGAAACGACAAGCTGGTGGCCCCAACTGTGATTGATGCGTCTCTCCCCGAAAGCTCGCAGGAAATTGAGATGGATGCCAAACGCGGTGAGAAACATGATCGCAAAGCTGTCCCCTCTCCCACTAAGCCCCACAAGGCTGCGCGCATCGAGCCTGAGAGCACGCATCAGGAATCTGATTCGCTGGGCCCGGATGAGGTCAAAATGTGGGATTTAGGAGGGGTCGGAGATTGTGGATTTCGTTGTTTGCCCGCGTCCAACGCGGTTAGACAGGGAGCCACGCCAGAGCAGCTGCAGCCTAAGATAGGCAAGGTTGCCTTGTCCCTCAGGACTCGAGCTGCCGAATGGCTAGAAAGCAACCAGGGCGCATGGGCTCTCGAGTGGTACGCGGACGCTGACTGTACGGAAGAAACTGAGGGAGGAAGTATCCCGCAGGACGCTGCTCAGTATCTCTCAGCTTGTAAACGCCCGACTAAATGGCTGGACCCTTGGATGACGTTGGCCTCGGCCCATGTCTTGCAGGTTGAGGTCCTCGTCTTTAAGCACGTTCACGGTAAGTGGAAGTTTCTTGAAAGGGTGGTGCCCAGACAAAAGGTGAGTAACAAACCTCTCGTGCTTTTTCTGAAGGACAAGCACTTCCTTACTCTCCCTCCGTCATCCCCGCTGCCTACCAAATGGGCTAAACTGGGGCTGGATGACAGTCAACCGGTGGCATCTCAGAGCTACTTAGGTGGAGGTCCGGCATCTAGCGTCGGCTCAGAGACGTCGTTGTGGCTACGACCTGCTGCAGATGCGAGACCAAGCTCAGGGCCAGCAGAAAAAGGGGAGTCTGAGGCTTCCTTGTGGCTTCGCCCCGCCAGGTGTGACGATGAGCATGTGAAAGGGCCCGAAAGGGCTTTTGGGCATGCTCAGGATGCAGGCCGGCCTAAGGCTCCTCAGGAGGCTGCAAGCTCGGACGCCCCTCGGGCTGCTAAGGGACGACGCAGAGAATATGGCCAATCGGCTTCTTCAGGTCGCTGCGTGGCCTCTCCGCTTCAGAGGGACTCTCCTTCCGAGGCTTCCTTGTGGCTTCACCCTGTTGCGGAGGCCGATGGGAAGTCGAGTGTGCAAATCAGGCCTGAGGACTCCTTTTCTCAAGCTGCCCCTGCTCGTAAGCGTAAATGTAAGAAGACTACCTGCGCTTGCGGCCCTGCGCCGTCTGGTTACTGTGGTCCCAGGCACCCGGCCCTGGTCCCAGAGGAAACGGCTCGTGACGGTTGGCAGCTCTGGTGGAGATGCGACGAACCGGGTTGCGACTACACGGTGTGGCACCACCCCTTGGTTAGAGGCTGTCACGAGGCTCGTAGACAGCACCTGATCACGAAACACGCCTATCCTGCGGATGGTCTTCCCGATATCCTGGTTCCCACGACTAGAGGCCCTCGGGTTCAATGTAAGATGAACTCTGCTACCAAGAAGAAGGTTAGGACGCTAAGATTGCTAAAAAGAAGGCTTTTCAGGTCTGGAAGCATTCCGAGTCTTTTTCCTCTAGACCGCCTGTAGGAACGCGTGGCCTGCAGATGACTAAGGTTGAGGCCCCAGTCAAAGGCACTAAGATGCTCTGGTGGGAATGCCCGATACCGGAATGCGATTTCAAGGTTCACAGAATAGTGGGGCAGCAGGGTCACAGCCAGGCCAAGGACCTCCACCTGCGTAATGTGCATGGCATGGCCAAAGCTTTTCCTTTCACGAAGGCTGTGTCACTTCAAGACACTCACCATCGTCTTCAGAAGTCCCATGAAGCCCTTAACCTCAAGTGGAAGGTTTTTGTTGAGGAGTTCAACAAGAAAAGATGGAAAGGCAGTCATCACGTAGAGGCGGAGCCCTCGCTCTTTAAGCCTGCCAAGACCAAAGATGGTAGCACCATTCACGCTCCCTGGCACAAGTGTAAGGCCTGTGGCGTTTTGGTCAACCGTAGCTGGCTCCGCCATGCTCCTTGTTTTGCTGTGATTAGTCATGGTAGCAAGCTCCCCCCCCCTGACAAGCGTAAGCGGGTGTGGGATGCCTGTCAGGCGGCAGGTAAGAAGGCTGTGAAGGATGCCAGGACCGCCAGGAAGGCGGCAACTAACTCCTGACAGACAGCGCCTCCTCAGGCGTTGTCCTGTGGCCTCTGCAGGGGGCTGAACGGACAGCGCATCGGGGAGGCTCAGAACCCGGGTCCCTCTCAACCCAGAAAGCTGACCATTTGGAACCAGAACATTTCCAGCTGGAAACAAAATGGGGAAGCGGTCCTCAAAACTGCACTTGACGAAAACGTCCAGATCGTTTGTCTGCAGGAGCTCAATCTCTCTGAAGCCGCGCTCCCAGGTGCGCGTAACACCGCCCGTCGCTCAGGATGGGAAATGTATGTGGCTCGACAGACGGGCATGCGAAGAGGAGGAGTGGCCATCTGTGTTCGTGAGCCCCTCGGGGTTTCTAACGTCACTTGTGAGCGTGCTGCCCAGTTTCAGATCCTTAGTGCTACGGTTCATGGAGCTGCTTCTTCTTTCACGGTGCTTGCGGGTATCGTGTGCCGGAAGAAGACACGGGCTTCCTAGAGGCCCTTAACTCCCAAATCCAGGGGGCCCCTTGTCGCGATTGGGTTGTTTGCCTTGACGGAAACCAGAATCAACTCGATAGCCCCCTCCATGATTTGCTTTCGGGCGAGAATGCTAGCATTGCGGCCGTGGCCCGCCACATACGTAGCGCTCACCCCATTGACGCGATTTGGGTCAGTGACCGTTTACAGTTCTCTGGCACGGCGGAGCTTCCGGGCCTTGGGGACCACAGCATTGCTAGTTGCTCTCTTGAGATGTCTTTTCAGAAAGGCCCTCGGGCCTGGAGATTGGCTAAAACAGGAACTTGCAGGTCTGAAGCCCCTTCTGGGAATGGTGAACAGACTCCAGAGCCGCAGTGGCCTCTAAGTGCCTGCAACCTCGAGGCCTCTCCCTCGGTCGAGTCCAAGTGGCTGCTCTGGTCTCAAGCGGCTGAGGAGTTCTCTTGGGGCGTGCGCCCCATTCGCGCAGTGAAAGGCCCCTTGGTAGCATGCCTAAGCTCCGCCCGGCAGCTCATGCTGCAGGTCTTGCGCAGTCTCTAGAGGAGAGGCAAACCCGCCGAACTCTCAGGCGAGTCACTGAGGCACACATCCAAGCCTGGAGGGGCTACGAAGTTAATCCAGGCCTGGTCAGGAAGATCACAAGGACGCCTCTGCAGGCTGAGGAGCGACAGGCGGTGACACAGCGTCGTTGGGGCCTCGCGGTCCCTTTGCTCCAAAAGAGACTCAGGGCACAGCTTGCCAAGGGTCAGGCTAAGGCTCTGTCCGAGTGGAAGCACAAAGTCCACTCCTTATCAGGCGCCGCCTCTTGGATCAAAAGCGAAGGCCCCAGCCCGCAGTGCCTCCAGAACGAAGAGGGACAAGTGCTAAGCAACCGCCCTGCGGCGGCTCAGGCGCTGAGGGAACATTGGTGCTCCATTTTCGGGGCCAATCAACCCGCAGACACGTACTGCGAAGCTTTCCGACAGAAGTATAGTGACTACCTCCGTCCCCGCTCCCTGGGCCTTTCTCTCTCTCAGATCAAGGCCCAAGACCTCAGGGCCTCCCTGAAGAAGATGAAAGGCAAAGCGGCAGGGCTTGATGGTTTCTCTCCTGACTGTTTGCTTTCGCTTCCGGAAGAAGGGCTGTCTCAACTTGCTGATTTCCTGAATCATTGTGAAACCGCGGGTTCTTGGCCTGCGTGCCTGACTCACTGGAAGTTAATCTTTCTCCCCAAGGGGAAGAAGGTCACTCCGGCCTTGGACGAAACTCGCCATTAGCTCGGCAATCTACAGAGCGTGGGGTCGTTTGAGACTCCGACAGTTGGCAGGCCACCTTGCTCAGGCTCTGCAGCCTTGGCAAGCAGGGGGGGCTAAAGGGGTTGACCCCGAAGTCCTGCTGCTCGCGGCTGAGGCGGACTTCCCAGGCGAGACTCACAGCTACGCTGCAGCTCTGGATTATAGAAAAGCGTTCGATTCGTGTGATTATCCCCTCGCTTTAATTGGCCTTAGGGCCATGAGCGTGCCGGAAACAATCCTCACTCTTTTAGATGATCAGTGGAGAAGACAGGTGCGATGGGTCACTTGCCCGGAACCTATTGAGCTTAGCGCAGGGCTCCCCCAGGGAGATCCCTGGAGCCCCTTGGGTCTAGCAGCAGTCCTTGCTGCTCCGAAGCAACATGCTGCTAGCAAAGCACCGGGCACAGAGTGCCTCTTGTACCTGGACGACAGGACACTTCTGTCCACTTCTCAGGTTTGACACATGGGATGAACTCTCTCAGGTTTCGCGCATACGCACGCATGAGGCGAAGACGCAAGTTTTCTGCCGGAGCCTTAATTCTGCAGACACGGCGGACGTGCTGGGAGCTTCTTTGGGTTCCTCAAACAGGCCTCTGACTCAGAAAGAGCAGGCACGCAAGGAGAAGGCGGCTTCCGTGGCGAGCCGCATTGCTCTGCTGCCAGTCTCTCTGAAGATGCGCGCGGCCCTTTGTGCTACAGTTTTCAGCCCGATCGCGGCTTGGGCTTGCCTTCTCAATGGCCGAGTCCCTGATGCTGCAGAGCTCAGTTGGTACTACTCCACTTTCAGGAAAGCGGTGAAAGTGGGCGATGCTAAGGGTGATCGCAGCAGCAGAGACCTGCAGAAACTGCTGCTGCTGGGTCACACGGCCGACCTCCCAGTGGTTGCGGCATGCAGGGTGCTTAAGGCCGCGGCAAGATGGGCTTCTTACAAGTTCAGGATAGGCCAGGACCCACAGAGCGCGGCCCTCATGAGAGCCAGACCGGTCAGGGCCTTAGATTCCTGTCTGCCTGCTCCCTGGAAGAGTAGCGGTTCCTGGGGTCGCTGGACTAATGGTCAAGCCACGTGGAACATTCTTGCCGAGAGTGCTGAACAGAAGCGCGCTGCGCACGAGGTGCGAGAGTCTTGGCGTCTCACGAGACTGCAGCGGTGGCTTGCTGCTAACCGCAACGATGCTCGTGATGCTCGTAACGAGGGCCTGATTGCTTCCTCGGCTTTGGTCAAACGACTGCGGGAGATCGCTGGTCAGGTGGATGGTCACGGGGTTTCCATTATGTGCGGGGGTTTTGCTCCTGATGCGCGCTGGACCCCAGCGGGCCCAATCCGTGACATGTGTCATGATTGCATGCAACCGATCGCTCCACACACGAAGCATGTGATGTGGGAATGTGTGGCGCACACCTCCGCACAGTATGCACCCCAGCCTCTGCACTGGCTCAGCGTTTAGGCTGGGGGTCTCCGGACACGCCAACGAAAGAGTGCGTCAAGACTCTTCAGGTCATGGCATGCATTCGTGCCGCAGACGTAGCAGGGAGACGCAAGCGTGCTCCCTGGAGGGAAGGCTGAGGCGCCCTCTTTTGCTACCACGACCTGGCCAAACGTGGCTTAGGCACCGCTTTTCTCTCTGAGGCCCTGGGCCTGCCTCGCAGGCCTCGGGCTCCTCCTGCTCAGGAGCTCTAGGGCCGCGAGCCCTCAGCTAAGGAGATGCTTTGGTTCCAGCGAGGAGTCATCGTCTCCTTCGTCGGCACCTCCGCGGCGAGCGAAAGTGCAGACGACAGGACTACGGTCCTCAGCTAAGGAGATGCGTTGAGTTGGCGCATGGTCTCCTCTACTTCTTCGGCACCACCGCTGTGTAACGGAGCGCCGACAACTTTCCCCTGTTGAACAGTATCACCAGCACTGGGAAGTGGCCACAACCTCTTCTTGATGCTGCCGTCACACTGCTTGGGAAGTGTCTGCAACCAGAGTCGCCAGCAGATGCCCGGCCAATCACAGTGCTTGCATCTATCTATAGAGTCTGGGCGAGGTGTCAGGCTGCAAAGGTGTATGCTGCGATCTTGCCGCATCTTCCAGCAGCATTGTGTGGTTCTCTACCTGGCAAGTCGGCCATGGACTTGGCTTGGATCTTGCAAAATGAAATTGAATTTTCGCTGTTATCCGGTCAGCCGCTTGTGGGATTCGCCCTGGATCTGAGCAAGGCGTATAATACCATTTCTAGGCCCGTTTTGGACTTGGCAGCCGAACGTTTAGGGTGGCCTGTCGCCCTTAGGAATGCGTATGCTGCCTGTCTTAAGGGGGTTAGGCGACATTTTCGAGTTCGTGAACATGTTTCGGCACCGGTGCTCAGTCATACGGGTGTCCCTGAAGGCTGCCCTTTAGCGGTTGTTTCCATGATTGCTATCACGTGGTTGGTTTCGGCCGAAGTTGAAAGCAAGCACAGCGTTCCCATGAAGTCATATGTGGATAGCTGGACTGTTCAGTCTGGCTCAGGGGCGTGTGCCATTGAAGCTGTTGCATGCATCGCATCAACTACGTCGCAACTTGCGATGACCGTGTCTTTGACCAAGTCTGTTGCATACGCAACCACTAAAGAAGGTCGTAGTTTTTTGCGCCGTACGGTTTTGGAAGGGGTTTCAATTCCTGTAGTTCACGATTTCACCGACTTGGGGGTGGTTTTTAGTGCTAGGGCTAGGGGATGTGCCAAGGGTTTTCAACATAGGTTGGAGAAAAATGCTGGGAAATTTCAGAAATTGCAACTTGTAAAATGGAGCGCCGACAGGAAAGTAACAGCCCTGAAAAAGGTTATTTTGCCGGCTACTCTGTATGGTTGTGAGATGGCCAGTATCTCAGACTCATCTTTTAGATGTTTAAGAGGTAAATCCAACAAAGCAGTTTGGGGGGAGCATTCGCAGCGTAATCATTATCTTGCCCCGCTGGTTGCTGGAAGCCACATCTATGAACCTTTGCTGATTGTTTTCAAAAAACGATGGCAGACACTGCGTAGAATTTGGGTTTCCGTGCCAGATTTTGCCACGAAGTGGAAT